TTCACCCCGCCCGACAACGTAGTTATTAATTTTTATTCGAAGTATCCAGCCCACCCAAAAAATATTAACCTCTCCGTCGGAGTTTCATTTTTCACCCCGCCCAACCGCGTAATTTTTTATTTGTATTCCGAGTATCCAGCCCACCAAAAATATTAACCCTCCCTGTCGGTTTTTATTTTTCACCCCGCCCATCCCGCGTAATTTATTTTTGTATTCCGAGTATCCAGCCAACCAAAAATATTTACCCTTCCGTCAGGGTTTTATTTTCAGCCCGCCCGACAGCGTAATTATTATTTTTAGTCCGAGCATCCAGCCCACCCCAAAAAATATTAACTCTTTCCGTCGAGGTTGTATTTTTAACCCCGCCCAACAGCGTAATTATTTTTTTTTATTCCGAGTATCCAGCCAACCAAAAATATTTACCCTTCCGTCAGGGTTTTATTTTCAGCCCGCCCGACAGCGTAATTATTATTTTTAGTCCGAGCATCCAGCCCACCCCAAAAAATATTAACTCTTTCCGTCGAGGTTGTATTTTTAACCCCGCCCAACAGCGTAATTATTTTTTTTTATTCCGAGTATCCAGCCCACCAAAAATATTAACCTTTCCGTCGGGTTTTATTTTTCACCCCGCCCAACCGGGTAATTATTATATGTTTTATTCCGTATCACGCCTGCCGAAATATGGAGCATGGACCAGGCATACTTTTTTTTATTCATTCGTTTATTTATCACAAGACAAGAATATATACGGAAGTGCTCAGTTGGAGAGGTCGGCAAATCAAATGGTTACGAGTTAATCGTGTTACAAAAGAAGAATAAACGCAGTTCGGCACGCAAAGGAACGGGAAGGCATGCAGAACGGGAAGGAAACTGTGTTCCTGCATGGCATTACGCCTGAGGACAGACAACAAAAGGAGCACAAAGGGGCCATTGATCCTCGAAGGAAGGTGCCTATTGTCCTCGAACGCAGGTTTGTGTGCTTAGTCTATGGGAGAGTGTTATATTACAGGGACAAAGGAAAACACAAAGCCAATCCTCGGAAGCATAGCAAAAAACGACTGTGTGCGCACGCGTGCGAACGGTCAATGTATTTTTGGTGTCTCGCCTTATTTTGTGAAAAACTTGTGGAGTACCACTTTAGTACCCCACAAGGTCACAAAATGGCCTCGTGGGGTACCTCCCATTGTTCCAGTACCCCATAAGGCAGTGGTTATACATGCACACACACACACACACACACTCACATGGACGGACAAGGCGGAAACAGTATGCCCCGGCAGGGCATAAAAATGGTTACAAACATGATAAAATTTGCCTCAATTAATGTAAACAACATTTAATGTCGATATTTCTTTAAAAAAATAATGGAGAATTCATGTCTTGCACACCACTATGCACAATGCTGGTTATGCCTAACTGTCTGTATTGCATGGGAAGCACAATAAACAGCGGGCGCGGGCCTGAGCAGCGTGAATGCACTGTGTATCTAGCGAGCAACAAACCACATGCTGCGGCAGGAAATTTCACGAAACACGCTGCACTGTATCGCCTCAAGTATGACCTCCAAATAAATTCATGAAGAACAAAAAATACATACACAGACAAGGGAGAATTCTTCTTTCTCCATCAATGTTTACGACCATTTGTTCGACCTGTACTGCAGTATTTAATTTATATGCTATGTTGTCAAATGCATAGACTGGTTGCCACCTTTGTCAGGATGTCACTGGCCAAGCATTAACATATGGGTCTTTCTACAGTATTGGGTAATTTTGACGGACAAAGATTACACAAATATTTTATTAAGAACCATCCACTGCAGAGTTACAAGTTATGTGTGATATTGTTAAGTATGTATTAAAGATATATCAGAAATAAAACAAAAACCATTGGTTGTTGTGTTTGTTTATTATTCACTTAACTCTGAAGAATGCGTCCCTAAAATGGTGCTGAATATTGTGACATTTCCTGAAAGGCAGGAAACTATTGCTTTTTCTCCCTGTTTCAGTCTCAGTATTAAACTAAATTGACAGTGTACGAAGAGTTGGAGTTTCCCCCCACATAAATAATATAAGATGCAACCGCTGCGAGCTCACTTGTAAATACACGCCGACTGTCAGGTGAGCCATTATCCACGTAACTGTGTCCGTCAAAATGTTACGTGGGTAATCCCTTGCCAGATTGGAAAATCTAAGCCTTGTATCCCCACCTGGTTATGACTGTTTTATAGCTATGTTATCTTGTGTGAGGCACATATCATGACAGCGAATGTTTCCATGGAAAAGTTTCTCAAAACGGCCGACGAAATCTCAGTTCCAACTGTCCGTCAAATTGTTACGTGGATAACTGTTATCCACGCATCACGCTCGTGTGCCGACTCAGAATTAGATAGATCCCCAGTTGACATCTTATGGTGTTCTCCCCTCACTGAGATGGGTTTCTGACGTGTTGTTCTTGAACAGTCTTTCCAACTTCCTGGCGAATGTTTCATGTTTGGTATTCCGTCACCAGAGTTACGTGGATAATGGCCGTTACGTGGCTAATCATGACAAAGGTTTTTAAAACGTCTTAGCACAGCGAGACAGGACAAATTTGTTTCCAGTGATAGAAGATGATGTCCAGTAACACCATGTTCAGTGTTCGAAGCTAGGTAAAATTAAAAACAACTAAACGAGCTGATGACACAAGAGACGGACACAATGACTGGTGTGTCATTACCCTTGTAACATGATACGGACATAAATGTGGATGCCGCAGCAAACCACGCAAAAAACAGCTACCCCGTGTAATTTTTTTTGCACTGCAGGACTGAATGGTCCATGTCAATATTCAAGGGGAAATCTGAGGTGGTATGTGATGTAAAAAAAACAGTTAATTTTCAACTAAAATCGATTTTAACAATGTTAATGAACAGGGCATGAAAAGGTTCACCAAGGGGGGAGAAAATGTAAATTTGGAAACAGCCGTCAACTTGCGAGTCGCTACCGATGCAGTAGAAGCCGCCATTTTTTTCCCGCACTTTCGTGCCGCTGTCATGAGCGAAAGTTTGCCTCTCAAACTGGACTTTCCAAAAAAATCCAGGTGAGGATTCAACACTTAAAAATAGTTTAACAAATGTTGATGCATTCATACTCTTTTTCTGTGTGAAATTTTTTCTGTACGACTCGTTTTTTGGGGTAAATTCATTGGCTGTTTATGCCACAGGGCCTGACAAGACAGAGTTGTGTGGAAAACGCACGTGTTGCGTGGCTGTTATGTGTAGGCTTTTAAGTGCAATACAGCTTGTCGCAGTGCAGTGTTCGCAGAATGAAAACAACGACGTGGCGCACTTCAAAGTTTCTCCCAACTTTCCCCATGCATGTAGCTCATTCTCTTTGTTGTGAATCTTCATGTTCATTAACTTAAATACTAAGTAACTTTTTCTAAATAATACTTGATGTTGACTACTTTAGTATCATAAATTTCGTCCGATTTTTTTTTTTTAAAGGTTGTGTCCGGAAATTGGGCACAAAATCAGCCATTGTTCCCAGGCATGGCGCACTGGAACAAATCTTTAAAAAAATCCCAAGTGAACATTTAAAAATGTTTTAAGATGATTGGAGTTGGGGGTGATATGTGCATAACTGTTAGAAATAATTTTGTTGGAAATAAATAAATGTTTAAACGTCTGTCAGAATTCAGTTGCCTGTCAGTGCCTGTGTTTATTTCCATTGCGTCCGTCAATGTTACGTGGGTAATTCTGTGCTAATGCTAAATAAATACCCTTTTTGAATGTGAGCCATATTATCAGACTGACTTGACAAACAACAAATTAAGCAGTCAGTAATGGACCACCAAACACTCAGTTATTGGCATGACAGACTTCATGCATTTAATCATTGTCTTTCAATGGAAAGATAAACAAAATATATTGACCATGTGAAAAATACAGTGATTCAGAGGGTGTTTCATATTTTTTTCGCTGAAAGGGAATTTGTGGGGGATTTTCTAGGGTGATATTATTTACAATAATCACTTGCACTTTAAAAACACACATACCACAATTGATCAAATACCTTGCTTGACTGCTGGGACTACCAAGGTGTCCGTCCCCGTTACATAGGTAATACCCCTTAAAGGCAGTACACAAACCCCTAATTTTTTATTGTACAAGAGAAAGTTATCTTTTTGCTACTTTTTCTGAAAAGGTGACTGTACCCTCAATTCATGTTTGAGTCTTTAAATCTTCTCTAAGCAATTTCAATTTTGAGGTAAATGTCACACTCTTTTACCCAATACTGTAGAAAGACCCATATTGACAGTCACTGCCGCAGGATTTTGCAGGATTAAGGCAGTGCGCAGTGGTCACCCCTCCATGGACCATATTCAAGAAATAAATGAGGAATTTGCAGGATTGAGGCTATATGAGGCCAATTTGAGGATTTTTAAGGATTGAGGCTGCATCCTACCAAAAAGGCCTAGGGAGTTAGACTTAAAAAGTAAATAAAATTCAAAAATTCATACAAAATCACACAATGACCTCATCATGACGTCACCTAAATTTTTACCTATAACACATTCCAGTCTACCTACCGGTATACAAAGTTTCAACCCAATCAAACTTATGTAGATTTAGGACTTCAAAATATGCACATTTGTGATGAGGTCACGTGATGACCCATGACATAATCACCTAAGCTGACTAAGATAACAATGTACAACAAAGATGAATGCCAAAAAAAACGTGTACTAAATTCATGTACAAACTCTCATGGGATTTTGCGTGAACAAAAAGAAAAAAACAAAAATAAAAACCAAAACAAAGGCTTTTTTGCAAAATTTGCAAAAAGCCAAAAACAATCCAAACAAAAAGGCTTTTGAAAAGCCAATTAAGTTATCTGATCACTCTGTAACTTTCTACTGCACATGTTTGTCCTATCAGAATATAACATGACATAAACATGCAAAATGCAGAAACAGCAATCTGTTTGTCAACAAACATTCATCTTTTTTTTTCTTACCTTGCTTTGTTCATCTGAAAGAAGATCTGAACTGTCTTCCATTCCATCCTGCAATTAAAGTGTGAAATGAACAAGTAATTTTTTTTTAAAGCAAGTTTAGAACATTGTACATGCTTTGATGGATTTTAACGAGATTTAAATGAAGAGAGCCTTGGGTGGTAAACCACAATTCGTCTTTGGAATGCTGACGTCTAAAGGTAAAGTAGGGGTCATTATTCAAATAGGCTTTAAATGTAGTTTGTGTACATAATTTCATGAATTTTGATGTAAGTTGGATGGAGTAATCCTTGGGTGGACAATGTGTTGCTTTTCAACATCACCCAAGGGTGGATCCAGAACACAATTTTTTGGGGGCCAAAAATATTTTGGTCCCCAAAAAAGTGGGTCAAAAAAATTACGGCGTGGGGTTCGGGGCCCGCTTAAAAGGGCCCCGAAAAAATTTTGGATTCTAGATGCTCTGTGGTGCGATCTGAGGCAATTTCTGACCACTTTAAACAATGTTTTTTTGAGGAAAAGATGGTGGTGTACTCATTGCCTGCCTTTATTGCGATGTCACATAAAAAAATTTAAAAATTGGTTTCGTTTTTGGGGGGGGGGGCCATGGCCCCCTTTGGCCCCCCCCCCCCCCCCCTGGATCCGCCCTTGACATCACCAGGTATTTTGAAGAGTACAGTTACATAAAAGGTTCATTTAGTTGTCTTACAGGAAATGGTTCCTAAAGTACACTTATAGAGTTTCATTGGCTGTTTCGGCATGCATGTTGAAACAGGCCTTTGTTGGAATTTTTTTTGGGGGGGGGCCTTTGTTTTTGTTCAAGTTGTTTTTTTGGGGGGGGATGTTTCTGCAAAGTTGCGGAAAAGCTTTTGTTTTTGTTCTGATTTTAGTCTTTCTTCTTCTTCTTGTTCCACACCCAAAATCTCACAGACTTGATGTCTTTTGTCCGCGCCACTTTTGGCACTAATCTTTGTCCATCATTCAAAGTTACAGGCATAGTCCCTATAGCAAGGTTGTGTCCCGAAGAGTGGCGTCATGGTAACATCATCATGGGTCACATGACGTCATCTTAAATGTGCAAATTTCAAAGTCCTTTATCTAGATAACTGCAATTCCGATTGGATTGAAACTTGGTATGTAGTTATTGGTGAAAACCAGGATGTGTTATTGGTGAAAATTAAGGCGACGTCATCATGACGTTATCATGTGATTGTATACATATTTTTCAAATTTTGAGGTTTGATACCATATCTCACGAACGCAACATGCTAAATTCATAATTCTTTTTGTATTAGATTCATTAGGTGATATATTGCATAGTTTTCTTTAAATGTGTGACCCCATGATGACATCATCAAAAGCATGATTTTTCAAAACACATATAAGGGAAGGTCCAATCGTCATGAAACTTGGTGGAAAGGTAGATAGTGGTACTAGTATGCAAAATCTGAAATGACGTCATAATGACATCATCAGCTGATTTTTTTATGAATTTTTCATTTTTTTAAGATTTGTTTATTACAAAATTTGACACTGTTTTTGATATGATCCACTTCAAACTTGGTGCAGAGGAAGAACAAATTAACATATTTTTATTTTCTAAAACAAAGTGGCATTTGAGGGACATTATAATGAGATATTTAATTCACTTTGAATAGTTTTCCAAGCAATATAGACCTTTTATGCAGCAGTGCTTCTCTGCGATTCCCTGTGCCCCGTATAATATTGGGCCTCCTGTGCCCCGTATAATATTAGGCCTATGTACATATACGTTTCGAACATATACATGTGTACATGTTGTGGGTCATTTTATGAAGTGATGTGGTGTTTCTCCGTGTTTTTCTGTGCCCTGTACACGGTTGAGATCAGTTGAGAGCACACAGCCTATTCTACCTCACTATCACATAGCACCTCGGCCTTACGTGAGATTGCACCTTCCACTGGAATATATCGTCACGCTTTAGAGCATCTATTGTAATAAAACAATAGGAGACCCATATATAACCACGCACAAGGCACAGGTTCCACAGTGCATTTTTCGTGACCGGAGTGTATCGTATAGAAACGTGTTAATTATATTGCTGTTAATTATAGAGCTGTTGGCTGGGGCTACAGACAAGGAGACAACTCAAGCGACTCAATCAGACGAGTCCAGCCACTCCAACTCCTACAGCGGCAATCCGCTGGATAAACCATCGGGTAAGCCTAAAGGCAAAACCTCAACCAAGGGTAAACGTAAATCAAACGATTTGGTTACTCGTAACAAGTTTGAAACCCTTCAAAACAAGCTCAATCCCATGGCTAATGCCATGGAACAGATACAGAATTTCATTCTATCTGAGCCACTCCCTAAACGGGCCAAAACTGACCCATTAGTAAGGCTGTTGACGATCTCTTGCAAAACAAAAAGCAAACTGAGCAAGGGGATTCCAACATGGCTCTACTACAAGACTATGAACAGTTATATGATGATGGGAGTGCAACAGTGTTGTAGTACTCGTACTTGGTACTTGTACTCGAGTACTACTTGAGTACTTTTTTTGGAGTACTCGTACTTGTACTCGGACTCGAATGTCAAAGTACTCGTACTCGAAATGACGGTACTTGTACTCGGGCAGCAAAGTACTCGTACTCGACATGTCGAAATTGTTCTCGATCATTAAAGTACTCGTACTCGAATAGCAGTACTCGGGGGGGGGGGGGGGGGGGGGAATGTTATAGCTTCACTTACCATGGCCTTATTTTATTGATACTTCCAGTTTGAAATGGTTGATTTTCCTCTGTGCAAGTCCGGACAAACACATTGAACAGCTGGCCATGGGTGGGTCTGTATATCGGTCTGACTGGGCCTGGGCCAATAATGCACAATAATTGCCTTATGGCCGTATTCGGATATGCGAGTACTCGTACTCGTACTTGGAAGTACAAATACTCGTACTCGGAAGTACAAGTACTTGTACTCGGAGACCCGTTCTTGTACTCGGAGGTACTAGTCTAGGGGCTAGACGTTGTTCTTGTTTGCTACGCCGCGCCGTCCACCGCTATAACCGGCCACCGCGAGAGGGCGCTATCACGACCAACCAATATCACCCACGAACCTGTTAGGACAACGTCTAGGGTACTTGCTTAAATTTCCCCCCCAAAAATGGGGGAAACTAGTGCGCGTGCGCCAATTTTGTATGTAATTTTCTCTTCACGCACGCGCACTTACGAAACAGATCTGCCACAAAACTGCACAATAGTCTGGAAGCTTGCTATGCTACTGGCTGGACGTTTCAGACATACAGTGGATAATTGTCTGCTGTCGGCCGAGTCGCGGGTTGCCATCCCGCCGTGTACGGCGCCGGGCCCGTCCGGGGTAGCATTGCACATTGCAGTACGCTCGCGCTGTTTGGTTCGTAAAATACGACGGAGAAATGGCGGAGAAGTTGCCATTTATAACTAAGCGCAGTATGATACACCAAAGTATAGCGCCGTAGGCGCACACGCACACATTAGTGTGACCGTAAGGTCAGAGCTAAATTCTGCTAAAAGCACATTAAAAATCTGCCAAATTCCCCAGAATTACTCGAAATACACTATAAACACGTAAAATCACATGTAGATTGGTAGTATTACCCATAATTAAGGTTCAACTCACATTATAAACATTCTATAGTCACATAAAGATGTTATGAAATTATCCCGTAAATTTCGGGCAAAACGCAGATACGGTCCAACGACGTTTCCCAGTGAACTTCAGCACCTAGACCCAGAGTTGTAACGAGTCACTGATTTTTGTGACTCGAGTCTAGTCAAGTCATTTTAAAGAAGTGACTTGAATTCGAGTTTAGTCATTAGGTCAAAAGGTCGAGTCGAGTCGAGACAAATATTTAGCTCGAGTCAATTCGAGTCACGATTATTTGAACACTATGTATACCAAAATTTATAAAAGGATGCAATAACTTTAGCGAGCATTCAAATCCTAAAGCTTCATAAAAATCGCTGAAAACCGATGATGAAACAGCGAATTAGAAAATGTGTTTAAAAATCTGGTTCCCAGATGGTATTTTGTATTAGAACCATGAGGTGGGAGTCTGTGACACTTGTATATTTGTACATGACTGCTATTCGCAAAGTAAAGTGAGCATAAATTTTGCACGGTAAGTCATTGTGAATATTTTTTCGCAAATTTGCGCTTTTTATTTTTGGGACTCGATCGTGTCTTAATTATCAGCCTTCGCTCGAGTCGAGTCGAGTCCTTTGATGCAGGGACTGGAGTCGGGTCGAGTTATTGCTCGCAGTAAAGTCGAGTCGAGTCATTTGCTCGCAGTAAAGTCGAGTCGAGTCACCAAAAATTGTGACTCGAGTCGGACTCGAGTCGAGTAATTGACTCAAGTCATTACAACTCTGCCTAGACCAGCCAACTTGTCCCATTATGCCAGGGTTTGTTTGAAAGGATTGAAGCTTTTTAAACAAATATGTATCATTTTTTGTTCAAATTTGTTGTTCAGATTTTCTCATTTTTTGTTCAAATTTGCTGTTCTCATCAAATCAAATTTGCAACCATTTTTGCTGAATTCTGCAAGAAATCTGCCGAAAAAAAACCCATTCTGTCAAATTGTCTGTCAAACTCTCGTTTTTTTTTACAAAATTCTGACAAAGTTAGCCGAAAATGGGCTAAAACGGTCACCCTGGTACACATGCACCATTACATGTATACCCACGTAATTATTGTACATCATGATTCAATCCGCAGGATACGGCGCGGTATGGTACGTCAGGGAACTAGACTATGAATATGCATGTTTTGGGGTAATTATGCAACATATATAATGCGCACTACATACATTAGGCCCAAAAAAAGAATAGTTCTGCTTCCGGTTACCCGACCGACCCTATTTGTAGGCTGCGACCCTAAAAATTTTATCGGCAATTCCCAAAACAAACAAAAAACAAAAAAATTTAATAAATAAAAAAAAAATCCGTCTTTTCTGTCTTCACATAATACCTCTCAACAACCCTTTTGCATCCAAAAATGCTTGTATTTATTTGTTTTCTTACTTACATTCGCT